AGAAAGATTGTTGAGTTTATTTTGAAAAACATGTTAACTTTATAGCCGCTAGTCAGTAATGGAATCATAATGGAATGAACTATAAACTAGTGACTTCTATTTAGTTACAAATTTATAATAGTCTGATTAAGAATAAGAGAAATGCTTGTGTATTGTTGTTGAATAAATCATAAAAGTTTGCTGTAGAAGCCATACATGTCTGAAACATTAATGTGTCCAAGAGATTGATATATGGCGGCATGTACATTCTGCCTAAGTATAGGCGCAAATTCCTCTCTTTTTAAAGTAACTTTCATTTTGTTAAAGCAATACTCAGCAGCATTAAATTCTGGAGAAAGGGAAGGGGTAAATATAAGGTTTGCACCTCTAAGCATTAGCCATCTATGCAGCGTTTGAGCAGCTTCAAAACGATGAATTGCGCAATTATCTAAAATGATATAGTCACCAAACTCAATGGCTGGATTGCCATAATCAGTCATAGCTTGCCCCGCTTCATCAAAGAAATCTAAGAAAGTTATTGTGTCGGAACTTCCTTCTACAGTATTAGCGTAAAGAACTCCTTCCAAACCACACAGTAGATTTAGAGTGACATTTGSGCCTTTTTTGTTCTTCGATATTTCGATGGCGTGTGTTCCGCGAAGTGAGTGTCCGTACACAGAATTCCCAGACCCGGAATGAACGCCTGCTTCATCAAAAAATTTCAAACTTTCAGGAGGTAGTGTGCTTATTGTATCCAGGAAGTTTTGACAATAATTCAAGTTCACTGGCGTAAACTTATTTTGCGACGGTTTAGCGAGTCGCTTTCTGGTAAATGGGCCTTCAGATAGTTTATTTCTCACAACATTTCCAATCGCTGTTAACGAAGTACCGCCGTTTACATTACAATAACTATCGATATTTTCTTTGATTGACTTGTATGATTTGGATGGATTTTCTAGCTTTAAAAGTTCTACTAGGTCAATATCTTCTTGTTGTAGATGTGGCGGATTACCAGATTTCCTTTTTGACGGCAAGTGATCCAATGTTTCACAGACTTGATTCCAGATCTTGGCAACAAAAGTTTCGGATACGTGGTACATATTTGCAATATCTTTGAAACTACCTCCAAAATAACCAGTAGCCATATCTCCTCCATCGCTGACAATTTTGTCGATTATAATGGTTCTTAAATCTTCATTGGCAGCCTTTCCACGAGAATACGTTCTACCTTTCGCTGATAGTGAAATTCCCGCCATTTCRATCTAGTCAGTCAGGAATGYGTTCGCGTTGACTCAGGAATGTGATCAGACATCGTTATCTTTTACGTCATCAGCGATTGTAAATTGTCGGGCGCGATTGTCACTCTACTAGGCCGTAATCTGTGGTCGATTATCGTTCAAAAAAACTGAAATCACGGATGGAAAGAAAAAAACTTCACAGATCTAAAGTTTTTTACTTACTG